ATTGTAAAGCGCTGCGCAAACTGTTGGCGCTATATAAATCCTGTATAATAATAATAATAATAACTTTATGATGCCTTACCTGCCTTAAATCTGCTATAACACGTGTTCTACTCTTTTCAAGAAAGGTTGTTTGTCCGGTTTAGTCTTCCTTAAGAAGTTTTGTCAGTGGCATCAGTGAAGCAAAACATAGAGCCTCTACTGGGAAAATAAATATGATGAATCACCAGTGTGTAATGTGACCTTTTTGACACATGACTTCACAGGACTTGCTACATTTCAGTGAAATAAATAGTAATCGCGCTGCCAGCTTTCTAAACATGATCGTTTACACTGCATTGCATGCATAATGGAACATTGCCAACACTCTAAAATTGGAGGATGGTCTTTCTTTTGATTTCTTTTTTACTGCTGGGTGTGTTAAAATTTAATTTGTTAAGCCTGCAAACTGGTGGACTAATCCTGCGTACATTAGTTCAGTGGCGGTCAGTTTACTTGATATAGGGGGGCCAGTGCACCCCCTGATATCACCAAAGGGCCACACATAATATTTAGTGAATGTAATGCTACAGAAAGCTGTCCGAGACTGGAGGCATGCAACAGGAGATGATCAAAGACTATGGGCATCCTATAAGAGATGATCAGAGAATGCAGACATGCTATGGAAGTTGTGGGACAAAGGAGCCATTCCTGAGCAGAGACATTTGATTTGACTGCTAGAGACTGCTAGAAATCACTGTTATTACAACCCCTTTATAAGCCACCACTTTCACCTGTGCGCACCCAACACCTTAAAAATGATTTGTGCCACATTTGATATTTCTCTCAGCAATTATAAAAATTCAAAGAGAAAAATACATAAAAAGAGAAAATGGATGGACAGCACAGAAAAAGTGAGATAGCATGAAGAAATAAGCCAAACCATTTAAAGAGGAACTTTACCCATATCTTTAAAATAAGAATAAACGGACCTTTTAAAATGTTAGTAATGGCAATCTACAAACAGATACTTCTAAATAATTGCTAGCTTTTTATTTTTTGCACACCTTATTTTTTTTCTTCCCGTGTATTATGGCAGTGGCCATTTTAACTAAGGGCAGGTTACTAAATCTCCCTTTACTTCCTGCAACTCTGGCACATGTGACTAGGACATGTGACCATGCACACCATCTCAGTGGAAAATGCCTTTCCATGATATTTCATGAGATTACAGATCAGATTTCCCAGCAATTCTCTGATGATGTAACTTCCAGGATGCAATACTTGGGCATGATTACATAATTTGTGCCAGAGTGGCCCAAAAATTGGGAAAAAAAAGAAATTGTAAGTAAAATAAAAACATGTTTGTTTAGCTAATAATTGTAAAATGATTTCACATCAGCATGCCGAGCTTTATGCTGATGTGATTTTTCGTCGAAAGGGGTAGTCCACTTTAACTAATAGAAGCCAGTCTAAAGAATATATTCTTTCACTGGGTTTAGTGAGCACCAAAATGCAGACTACTGTCCCAATGCAGAACACAGAAAGTGCTTTAAAGAGACACAGTTTGGGCACCAGGACATTTAGTTAATCCTTACCAAAAATAAAATGTTTAAAATAAGTTTAGTTGAATTTCATAATGCATAAAAGGCAGGACCGACCCAAAGCTGGCATTATAGTTTTGTTTATGGCTGCTGGCCTTACCATACCATTGAATAAAATGCTATCTTCTTATATGACTCTTCACTTATGAGATATTCTTAGTTCAGTTAGTATAACCATTACAAAGCCAATTATAGTGTCCAGCCCCCCCTCGCCCCCCCCTTCATGATTGGCATACCGGAATTATGATGTTGGAACCGCTTGTATCGCGGACAGTTACTGCTAGATAGGCTTACCTATGGCATATGTAGACTCTTGATTTAACAGTTGCATCACTGAAGAGAGACACAAGATTGTGGACACATATGCTCACATATGCAGTCTGCTTATGGACGAGATCTCTGGGAGGTGGTAGGCAGTAATGAGCTGTGCTGATGGTAATTCACCAACAGCCTTACGTGACTTCCTTAGCAGTTCAGGACTTTTGCATTATTAACAATTGCCAGCATGGTTTCTCATACCTGTGATTAAGTGTCCACCACGATAATTATAGTCTGGCTTCAATTTGCAGCTATTGGAAGGCAGCTACCTGTGGTTGTGCAGCTCTGAATCAGATCAATCATTATACAGTAATACCATGGTTTAAGAGCATAATTCGCTCCGGAAGCATGCTTGTAATCCAAAGCGCTTGTATATCAAAGCGAATTTCCTCATAGGAAATAATGGAAACTCCCATTCCACAACCCAAAAATATTCATATAAAAATGATTACAACACTGCACTGTAATATAATACTGTACAAAATATAAAGAAAAATTAACCAATTACAGGTACCTTCTTGGCTGGTGGGAGGGAGACAAGAGAGAGGAGGATTATTGTGTAGGACAACTTTCACTATCACTAACGGAATCACTGTGATCTCTTGGCTCAATGGAATCTTTTTCATTTCGGGAAACCTTAACAAGGAATCTTTCCAATGACACTTGCTGTTGCCTTCTTTTGAGGATTTTGCGGAAATGTCGTTTGCATTGTTATTGTCGCTCGCACTGCTACAGCCTTATTCGGGTGGTGCTTTTCTACAAAATTTTGCTTGTATTGCAAGGCAACGCTCATATATCTATGGAATTTTTTTTAGAAACGTTTGCTTGTCTCGCAAACCACGTTACTTGTAAACCAAGGTGTTAATGTAATTGAATCCTTATGAAGTGCATAGTATCCAGTAACAAACAGCAGATGATGGATGTGCTGGGGTTAATGTGTGCAATAGCAGAAAGTGGATTCCAATGACATACATGGCACTGAACTAATACAGAAGCTGATAATCTGTGTACCTGCAATTCATTTATCCTGAATAGAGTATCTAGTGTATTGCTACATTTGTTATGACTGTCTATATACTATAAGGATACAGTGCTATGGCAGTTGTCCACTGTGAATAGCTCTAGACTCAAGCAGAAGCCGATTCTGTATATGCGTTTTTCCTTGTTGAACACGGCATATATTTGATTGTTAACGTGACACTAAACTCAAGAGTTAAAGTGGTATTAAAGTCAAAAGGATTTTAAGCTATTTCAAATGCTTACAATGATTGCTGCCCCTTGAGTGACTCCCTCAAGCAGAATGCTATGCAGTCCCCCTTGTGTGTGCTAGTAAGCTGTGCGTGTCTCTACAAACACGCAAACAGCAAATCAAGCTACTTCCCTTCCTCCTGGCCTCCCTTCTCCAAGCTAGTAGATGAAAAGTTGCTGTAGTCTGCACCATCCTTTTGTGATCTTGTACTGGACAGGAAGTTCAGGGAAGCTGAGCTGAGAGACTAGGATGCAGCTCTTCAGAAACATGATGATTGTAAGTGTTTGGGCAAAAATGTAAAGCAATACTTTGCTGGGCAATGTATATTTGTTTGATCTGGATTCATTATTGAAAAAAAGTTTGAGCCTTTAATACTACTTAAACTGTAAAAATGCAATCAAATACCTTAACTAACAACACAAATGTAGCTTATGGCTCCTCAAATCATCTCTGAATTGGTACTGACGATGTCCTTCCTTCTGCTCCAGGGTTCCTGTGATGGACTCCAATCTCAATACAAATTAAAAAACTAAATGTGAGCTTATAGACCCTTTTGGGAGCGAGCTTGGAGTTGTGGTTACTTTACAACACACGGGGACCATGGGGAACAAAAGTAGCCACCCTCCTAACAGAAGAACAGTGTCAGCATGAATTCAGAGATGATTTGAGGGTCTATAGCCAAGTGATAGACAAATCTGCAAAATGTTTGTTAATAGTTAAGGTATTTATATTCATTTTAAGATTTAAATCGTGAGTTTAGTGTCAGTTTAAATCTACATCGACTATCTACAAGGATACAAGGTCTTGTGGAGAGAAGACCCCTGAGATTGCAAAGCTCATGAAATGGGAACACTTTTGCAAGTTAGTCAGCAGATGAGAATATGGATTAGCAGCAACATAGTTATTCTGCATAAAAATGCAATTTATTGTCAATTCCATGTGTTATAAAAAGTTAACTATGGTATCTTTTATTTTTAAAGGAGAACTATGGGGTAAGTGTTTTTCCCCATAGTTCTCCTAAGGGTCACCAGAGGACACAAACTAGCATCCTCCCGTTACCCACAGCTCAGTATACCGCGAACTACAGCTTGCGGTTTACTGAGACCGTTGCAGCCGGGACGGATCCCGACATTACTGTCGAGATCTACCCAGCTGCGGGATTGATAGGCAGATAGGCAGAGCCAGCTGTACCCACCCCCTCCCCCGTCCGTTCCGCCAGTCAGCGCTGGAAGATCGGACAGGGAAGGGGGGAATCCCTGCAGGGAGCCGTGAGTGATAGTCACCGTTCTCTGCAGTGACAGGATCATGAAGTGAGCGAGCGACGGTATGTGTTCGCTCACTTCCCGATCTATTGAGCCGACGTGTGACAGTTTCATTGTCACACGTCGGCTTGAACTATGAGGTTGAGTGAAAATCACTCACCTCATAGTTCTCCTTTAATATTATTTTGATGCATACACGAGTGAAATATAGGCATATCAATGCACATTACTGTTTAAAATAGTATTGGTATAATTTAATGAAATAAGCACATAGTGGCACCTTACCTCAGTGTGGATTAAAAGAAAAAGACTATCTTTAGTAATAATTGACCACATGATATAGGCTACAAGCTTGGAATTGTTCTATTTTGTATGTTTTTCTTTATTGACAGGAAAGAGTACCTAATTTATCTTAAAAAAATGTAATTTGATAACACTGACATGCACCGTACTGAATCAAGTGAACTGTGAATTTTAATGACAGGGCTAGTAAGGATGGGTTCTCTCCATGTATTTTTATAGCATACTGTATTTATTGTTATTTCTAAATATAAAGGAACAACAATTTAATTAGGGACTCTTTTCATACAGCTAAAGAAACAGCTTGGAGACTGTGATTCGATAACTCAGGAAATCGTTGGCAGCGCCCACGTGGAGAATTATGCACTGAAAATGTTCCTGTATGCAGACAATGAAGACAGAGCTGGGAGGTTCCATAAGTACGTACATTGAATTTTTAAATCTTTATGGTATAAAAATACATAATTATTGTAGTGGTCTCTCTTGTAGTAATTAAAGCGGAACTAAAGATATTAGGAACCCCCAGGGTTTTTGCCATCATTTGCAAGTATACACAGCATATTTGCATAGAATGCCCCCTTCCTCCAGTGATTCAGCATGTATGCTTCCCTTTGTTTCTTTGTTGCCACCACTGAAAACTTCTCAAGGTCTTCTTCCAGGATTGGCATCTCCAGCCATCAGGCTGGCTGAGATGATGTAACTCCCACACGTGTGCATGGGAATTACTTCTTTCCGGCACCCACGGCGTGCTGGGATTGTTTACTGACTTGCGCATGGGCGGCTCATTGTGCAATGCAATCTTTTATTAAATAGGTGACATATGGAGTCCATTCTGTGATACGTATCTACCTGCTTGCAATTAAAAATATCCTCTTAGTTCCACTTCAATCCATATGCTTATTCTCCTCTTTCATAATAATAGTCTTTGTATATAAAATGAAACTGGCTGCCTGTGTAGTTAGTGAGAAATTTCAGTAAATGGTGCCATTTTCAGATAGCTAAAAGGGGCTAAAATGTTGTAAAGTAGAAAATTACTGTTGTACATAACTGGTATATGTAGACTGCCATTGTCCTTCGCTCAAGAGTTTCCCTAAGTGTGTTTGTGAAGCCACACTAACAAAAGTACAGCACAGTGCTGCAAATTCTTTTCAATAGCTCTAGTAACATCTTTTTTTTAACAGACATGTAAATAGCTGATATTCGCTGTTATATTCTGCAGTCATATGACCACACAGCCTCCCTCACTCTTCCTAGTGCAGGGGTGTATCTTTTGCAACAGGGCAGCTGCCTAGTGACATTGGACAAAGCAGCTAAGAGCCACTGTCAGTCTGGAACTTCAGTAAATTGTGCTAGTACCTCTAGTGTAATCTAGTGCCGCAAAACTGACTACAGACACACTACGCTGTGAGAACAGTTTCCTATAACTCTTAGCAGAAGTCCCAAGGGGTGCAAACTGAACACACCAGCACAGATCTCCTTCCATGGTCAGATTGCAAAAGCCTAGAATTTCTCCACACTATTAAATTAAAATAAAAACAGGTTATGTTGTCAAAGAGCACATAGAAATATGGACACATTCATGTAATAATATATTTTAGACTAACATACACTTTAACCTACCTGCCGTGTTATGAAATTAAATAACTTGAAGCACCTGTGCTGTATCCTAATTGATATACTGTACTACAAATAATAATCTGCACAGTGTCAAAAAGTATTAAATGATTGATGTGTAAAAGTCAGAAATAAATATTAAAACAACAATTATGTTAAAAAATAGGTAACAAATCCTCATAAACCTATAAATTATTTTGTTTAAAAAATATTAAATGCATTTTGCACTTTACAAAAAGTTGTTAAAAATGTGGTTGCTATTGTTTACCACTTACTGATTACCACTTACTACTTTTATGGCACTTTATACTTCAGTTCTTTTTTTATATACTTGAGTAAATAAGTCAGGTAAATTACCTTCTTCTTTATTCCCTCAGTACAGATTTCCTTTGATGAACATAGGTTGTGCAGCATTCATTGGTACAAATTAGGGATGCACAGATACTTTTCGAGCACCAGTGCAGATACTTGGCATTTTCATGAGAACTACCAGGGTTGCAGCGGTTGCAGCGGGGACCTGGCTCTGGTGCTCCACCACTGTCCTGAAATAATTAGTCTGTATTGTTTTAGAAAAACTGTCACATGACAATAAACAAAAATGTATCAGTACTCGTACTTGTAAGTACTCGGCAAGTACCAGTACTCGTACTCGCAAAACTGGTATCTGTGCATCACTTTATTTATATTTATAAAAACAAAATCGTACATTAAAACAGAGATGTACAAATCCCAGGAGCTCCGTATGATCCTTACAAATGACAGCTGACTCCTAACTTCTGAATTTTTCTCTAGTGTAGTCTTGGAGCTCAAAAGTATCGGTACATGTACTCGTACTTGTACCGAGTACTGTACTTGGTATCTGTGCAACCCTAGTACAAATAGTGCTTATAGGTCCATCAAACACTACATTTTCGAAAATTGCCATTGCTTCGGTCCACTGCAACAGGCTCATAAAAAAAAAAAATCCTCGAAATTCCGCTGTCCCTGTGCGATTTCTGCAGGCTATTACACTCTTGTGCCAGGAACACAAGCCAATGTCCAACCCCTCAGGCAACTTGGATTCTATTTAGCCAATAGCATAGTGCTACCAGCTTTACAGCAGAGGCAATGTTTCCTGCTTGGCAGGCAACATTTTTATGCTTATGGTTACTTTGGAACTGTGATATGTCAATTCCTGCTCTGCAGGATGTGCTATTTAACAACATTTCTGGAGGAAGAGAGAAAGTATTGTTCATACTTTTAAACTTTATTTATACAGGTTTTTGTAATAACATACTAATACAATGAAAGAGGAGAAGAGAGACAAATGGATGGGAGGCAGGGAGTATAGTCAAAAACAAAAATTTCCCACCACACTCACCAGCCAGCCTGCAAAAAAAAAAAAAGGACCCTGTCCAACTACTAAGGTTAAAAACTGAGGTTTTAGTTGCACAACTTTTGAAACATATGTGAAAGCCGCACTGCCTCATCAAGGCCCCTCTGTATAGTGCGGTCCAAGCTAATCTATGAGAGCCTCCATCTTGGAGCATAGTTATAGCAAGGATGAATTGGGTGTAGGTTTGCCAGTAGGTAGCCCAACTCCTTCCATATTTGGCAAAAGTTATGCAACTAAAACCCCTGTTTTTAACCCTAGTAGTTGGACCGTGTCCTTTTTTTTTTTTTTTTGAGGCATGGCCGGCCCTGGCCGGCGGCGGGGCTGGGTTT